CCCTCCAAAACTTTAATAAAAATATCCCTACCACTCTTTCATAAAATGACCGGACTCATGTGTTTAAAATCGACTAGGTGGCTAGCTGGCTCCCCAATCCAGGCTGGGGTAAGTTCAGATCTTGCATTGTATTAGTTAGGTTCAGGTCACCACTTTGTGGTACCAAATTTAGATTTAGAATCCGTGATGAATCTTGGATCATAAGATCTCAACCTCCGTAAATATAATGTCAAGTTTCTAATAAAATGCTCAACTTAAACTAAATATTCTTTCAATCCCAAAACTTAAAGCCCAACACTTAAATTAGGTTGAGACACTTATGTATTATTCCGGAATCTCAAAGTGCCTCGTACTCTTCTTCCCTTGACTCTGAAAATAAGTGTTCGATCTTGCTCCATTTCCTTTTGACATTTCAGAATCCAACCTCCTTCGGTATCACTCCTAGAAAATTTTTTAACAAAATTTTGTCATTATTTTAATCAAGAGTATTCATAAGAAATCCTAATTTCTTACGATGTAATTAACTACGAGGGCTTGTGCTCGTATGAAATTTAGAACCACACTCACCTGATTTTTGAAATCAATTTTTAAAAATTAATTAGTTTTCTTTGGGAAAACTTAAATAATTGACTATCATTATTCTCATATTTAAGGAATTAATAACAAATGACATTTTCTCCATTTGGGAAGATATATCCTTTGTTGGTAAAACTTTGGATATGTATTTAACGATCATCCTTCTTGATTATCGTAGCTAAATTTTTTGTTGAGCTTTATTTTGACCCTTCGGGGCCATACAAAGTTCTCCTTTAAATCTGGTTACAATATTCGAGATGGGATTTATAATTCTAAACCCCATTCTGAAAGTTTATTTTCACCTCCCAATGTGATATATATTTTCTAATGGGTCGTTCGATTTTATAATTAGAATTCAACATCAATTTTAAATTCCCCAAAGAAAACTAATCTTTTTCAAATATTGCTTTCAAACTTCCACCAACAATGAGAAGTACCAACATAACAAGGAAATATATCATTTCCATCTCAGGAACAGTAGTGCCAAAATTTCAAAAAATTCCCCCATCTTAAGAAAAGTTGAAGAAAAATTTGATGATATATTTTAACTTTGTCGATGGGTGATTTTTTATGTAAGCGACCGTATTATAAGGCTTTGTGTTCTATTATGTTGAAACCTGAAAGGTATGCTTACATTGATTTCTTTAAGTGAGGGTTTCTTCTTGCTAAAATTTTCTTTCCCTGAAGACTTTGATTTAGTTTGGACATGAGGACTGGGGTTTTTCTTTAGTAAACCATTTATTATCCAAAAATGGTTACCTTTTCTTCATCCTAAACGTGAAGAATTTATTTCAATTTATTTATAGATCAAAATTTTGGACCTATCGTTGGTCTGTTAGATACCTGAGGTCTTATCAAAGATAGGTAGCCTGGTAGATGTTCCTATTATAGTTGATTCTTTAACAGCTAAGCAATCTATACTTACTTTTGCTCGTATTTGTGTCTTCATTAATAAAAAAAATCTTATCTTCCTGATGAAATTAATGCTTCAATGGCTAGGAATATTATTATATTGAAGGTGGTTTATGATTGGAAGCCTGATCATTGTGTGGGTTGTGGCTCCATACTTCATCAGTCTTCATTATGTCCTAATAATCCTTAACTATTGACTAAAATTCAAACTACTTTAGTTTTAAAAGAATATGTTAAGGGTAGAATTAAAAGTAGGAAGGTTTGGAGGGTTTCTTTTCATCTCTCCCATCCTTCCAGGCCTTCTAACCCTAATATTTCTATTTTAGATCCTAATTCTTTATCTTCTATTTCTAAAGAATTAGGGTTTTAGAGGTTCTTACAGAATCTCTACTCATTAAGCTTTTGAATGTTTCTTCCTTAGGTGAGAAAGCTACCATTCCTAATTTGAATTCTCCTATAAATGAATTTCCAAAGGATAATAATAATGAGATGATTCATTCCATAAATATTTCTTTTCCAAGAAAAGCTTTGTTAGAATCAGAAAATAATTTTAAAAATAAATATCATATTTTATAAGATATGGATCTAACTTCTTTTGAGCAGGAGAAGGATGAATCTTTTAATAGTTTGGTTAAAAAGAGAGATGATATGAACTTAGTTAAAGTGACTCTGAAAATTGTTTCTCAGTTTCCTTCGGTGTCAAGTAAATCTACTAGATTTAAGATGCTACGAAGACAACTTATTCCACTTTAATTTGTTAATGTTTTTTTTTTTTTAATATTGTCTTGAAATGTTAGAGGTGTCAATAGTTTAGAAAAAAATCAATGCTTGCATAGGTCTTGTTAATAGCTTTAATGTGGATTTTTAATGTGTTTTAGAAGCTAAGGTGAATATTGATTTGAATAAGGATCATTGGTTTGCTGCAAAGCACGAGATCTTTTAACATGAAGTTTATTGTGATAATTTGATTCTTTTAACTCTAGGTTGATTTGGTTAAAATGGAATATTTTTTTATCTCTTTCAATAAATATTTTCTTCTTGTCAATTGATTCATGGTTATTTAAAGGTTGGATCATATACTTCTTTTCTCATCACAACTGTTTATGCTTTAAATTTGGTCGTTGAAAGATCTATTTTATGCAATGATATTCTTAGCTTGGCTGATAACATTTCCTCTCCTTGGGTTTTACTGGGAGATTTTAATTGTTGTAGATTTTCCTCTGAAAAATCAAAGGGAAATGATATTAACAATGGTAGGCTTTAGGAATTTAACAATCTTATTTTTAATGCTGGGTTACATGATCTTTCTTCTGTTGGGTATTTCATTACATGGTTAATCAAAGAAGCGATTAACCTATTCATATTAAGCTTCATAGGGTTTTAATTAATAATCTTTGGTTGGTTGCTTTTATTTCTTCTTTTTATGTTGTGGATAAATCTAAATGTTTTGACCATTCGCTAATAAATGGTTGGCTTTTTATAGTCATAAATTTAATTTTAAGAAAATATTATATAAGAATCATGAGTTTTAGGATCTTCTTATTAATGTTTTTTTTTTGTTAGGTTTGTTGGTAGTCCTACTAATGATCTTTATTATAGGTTGCGTAAGCTTAAAGATTGTATCAAGAAACAACCTCGGGTTTCCTCTAAGTTTGTTTCTTCTTATATTGATAATCTTCAAAATCAACAAGGTTCTTTATTGATTCAATTACAAAGTAACCCTCTAGATAAGAAGCTTAATGATTCTATAAAAGAGGTTGGTCAGCTTCTTAATCACAATGTCTTTATGGACTTCTTGGCTCTTAAAGTCTAAAGGTAGATGGTTGTCTAGTGGTGAGGATGATTTAGGTTTTTTATATTCTAGATTTCATTATCGTAATAATAGGAATAGGATTAATGCTATTTCTTCTTCTAAGGGAATGGTATCTGATCGTAAGAAGAATTTTGTGGTTTTTGTCCAGCATCTTATGAAAATTTTTAACTCTCTTAAACTTATTTTTGCTTCTTCTAATTCAATTCCTATAGGAAGCACTATTTGTGATGTTTTTATTTCTTCTCTTATTGCTCCTATTGTAATAGCTTAAACTCTTAACCATCGAGATATTATCTGGTTTGGCCTAAGAGCCTTACAGTTTTGTCCTGTTGTTGTAACTTCCTATAAGGTCATACATCCTAAGATTTATCCGGAATGAGCACACTTAATTGCAGAGTTTCTTAAAAAAAATTCTAACCATTATACTAAAATGTGCCTCGATCTTTAAGAGTTTATTCTTTTACTTAAGAGGTTTCACAATCTCCCCCACTTAAGTAACTGATGTTCTCGTCAGCATCGTTATCTCATAATGGCTAGCTCGGCAACCAGTTTTCCTATCTTGGGAAGGTAATTTCTAACAACATAGGGATTGGCTGATATGAGCCCCTTTTTTGTTAGATGTTGTCTTGTTGGCTAGTTTGCTGATTGTTTTCTAGTTGAGGGAGTTTGATGGGTGGAGCTTGTTGCGGGCCTTTCTTGATGTTTGAAGTTCAGGAGGCCTCTTTTAGCATCTGTTGATTGTTGTTGATCGACATTATTTTTTGGATGACAGGTGATTTAATGGCCTGTTATCTATGTCCCTAGAGTATTGATTTTTTCTGAGCTGTTAGAAGAAGGTTGTGTTGTTGGCTCGTTTGTGGGCATTTTACTGATTGTGGGAGGGTGGCTTGAGGAGTTGGACGGGGGCCTCTCATGCTGTTTATGAGTTAAGGGTTTGTTGTTTCTCTTTTTTTTACTATGTTGACATAGTTTTTGTTATGTTGGTTGCAGGTCTTGCTACGTATAATCAATTGATTATTTTGGTTTGATTAGTGTTCAGATGATTGGAGATTGAAGGACCATGATGTTTATTAACTTGTGGCATACTATTATCTTGAAGAGTTTTTGCTATGTTTGTACGGGCTTATTTGTGAATTTGTTGGCAGTTTTTTTTCATCTCTTGAAAGAAAGCTTATATTCAAAAAGGCTCAAGTCTGAGATAGAGTTTTGTTCCCTTTTTAGTTTTTTGTTATTTTTTTTTTGTTTTTGAAGCACAAATTATAAGTTTTTCTTGCTTTTTATTACTTTTTAATGTTGTTATTTTTCCTATGTAATCATTTCATTTTTAATTAAATTGGTCATGCTTGCCCATAATTCTCACCCCTCCCAAACAAAAAAAAAGGAAAACTTTGTGGCTACAAGCTATAGTCATAGCGAAATTACTACAATCAAATGTGACCTTAGTAAGAAGCATCCATTGCAATTCTCTTAGAGCATGAGCATCAATGAGATTTTGACTCATCACTTAAAGCAAGCAAATATTCCCTCAACAAGAAGCATCCATTAAAAGTTTCTTAGAGAATTAGCATCAATACAATTTCATTATTTATTTTATTTGTGTAGGACAGAATGGAAAGATACTTATTAGTTCTCGCATCTCAGCCGTTCATCCCCAAATCCATTATGTTCCCCGTTTCGAATTTCCTCAAGATGTATATACGCAGAGCCAGTCCAGCTCCCGGTTTCGAAGTGCCTCATCGCAGAGATGAAGGGCCGATCTCCATTCTCTCTCCTTCAGAAATCTGTTCCCGCCGCCGCCGCTCTTCTTCTCTTCTTCCTCCTACTCACCGTCTCCCCTCCCTCCAACTCCAGTTATCACTCTCTCTTCCTCTCACTCTCCTCCAACGACACCGCCGCACAGCATCTACAAGCCCTCACCCGCCGGCCCCACGTTGCGGGGACTGACGCCAACTCCGTCGTCGCCGCTTATATCCTCAGCATTCTCTCTGCCGCCTCCATTCCCGCTCGCATCGTCCCCTACCACGTCCTCCTGTCGTACCCGCTTCATCGCTCCCTTTCTCTTCTCCCCAATGTCTCTGCCCCCGTCGTCAGTTTCGATCTCTCCCAGGAAATATACCCCGGCGACCCTTTCGCCGAGGTCGCGGCTGAGGTCCTCCCCACATTCCACGCCTACGCTCGCTCCGGCACCGCCACTGGCCGCGTCGTCTACACTAACTACGGCCGCGTAGAAGACTTCGCTAAACTTAGGGCAATGGGAGTGGAGGTTGCCGGAAACGTAGTTCTCGCGCGGTCTGGTCTCGTGTACCGCGGGGATATCGTGAGGAACGCGCAGATCGCCGGTGCGGTGGCTGCGATACTGTATGTCGATGCGAAAGACAATGGAGGGCGAACGGGAAAGTGGTTTCCGGAAGCAAGGTGGTTGCCGCCAAGTGGTGTGGAGGTTGGTAGCGTTTACCGCGGCGCTGGGGATCCGACGACTCCGGGGTGGGCTAGCGTTAGCGAGTGCGAGCGGGTGAGCGTTGACGAGGTGGTGGCAAGCGGCGTGATGCCGGCGATTCCGTCGCTTCCGGTGTCCCCGAGAGACGGGGAAGCGATTTTGGGGACCATTGGTGGCCAGGTGGCGCCGGAGGATTGGCAGGGCGGGACCGGAGCTCCGGTGTACCACCTCGGGCCGGGACCTGGATTACTCAACCTTACCTACTTGGTGAGATTTGAATTCTATTTAAGATATCTTTTTCTTTTCTTTTTATTTAAAAAATAAGTATATTTGATTTTTATAGTACACTTATTACTAAAAATTTAGAAGGTGACTAGAACTATTTATCCTAAGATTTAAGAAGGTGATAGAGGATATCATTATATTAATTATTATTTATTAATAAAATAAATATTGATTATATAATGTGTTGTGAATGATTATCATTTAATTTTATTAGAAGAAAAAGTGATATAAATGTGCTTAAGTATATTAGATTTAGTATATATAAGAAAAAGATTTATATGAAGATATAACTTCTATAGTTAATACTTAATAATGTATGATTAAGATTGAGAAATACTTCAAGAGTATTATGTGATAAAAGCATATTATGATGAAAAAAAGAGCATATTATGATGAATATATAGTAATTTAAAAAAAAATCTATTAATTTAGCTATCATATGAATTTTATTGTTGATCAATAAAAAGAGTTATTGATTGTTACATTGAATGTGGTGGAAATAAGAATGGTAGGATAAAGATGTGATAAAATAAAAAATATATAAATTATTGAATTACATCTATTAAAAATATATATAATTGAGGAAAATAACTTAGTCATAATAATGATGGGTGTAAAATGCACCAACTAGATGAGCAGATAAATTAATTGCCAAAGAATCAAAAAGAAAAAAATCAAGAAATACGCTACGAATAAAATTCATAGAAGTTTAAAAAGATTTGTAAATAAAAGTTAGATTCGGAATAGTTTTCTTACTGTTTTTCAAAGTAGTTTTTTAGTATAATAATTTTTTCAACTACAAATTATTATATTAAAATGCTGTTTTAAAAAGCAGTAAGATCTAACTATAAGTTCTTATACTAAAAACTAGTTTTCACTTAATTATGTGACATTGACATTTCTTATTAAGTTGTCATTTTCTTAGGGAAATGAAACCGTTATGATGATCCAAAATTTAATAGCTGTCATAGAAGGGAAGGAAGAGCCTGACCGGTAAGTTAATTCCATACAATTTTCTTGAGTATTCCTTGAATTTTATTTTTAAATATTTTTATTTTATTTTAAAGCCTAATGATTCTCACAAGTGGGTTTTTTTTAAGTAATTATATTGATCGCAAATTTAAATTTTTAACGGGTAACGGCATGCATAAACGAATAGTCACCCTGTCGCCCGCTAGTTCTAGATCCCTCTTGCTTCTCTTCTTCGGCTCTTTTTCTCTCCTTTTCATTGACTCTGTAGCACTCTCTTCCTCTCATTCACTCTCCTTCAAATTCTCTCTCTACTTCTCTATTTCTCTCCTTGTCATTTACTTTCTAGATATCTCTCCCTCTCTTTTTCTTGCAAAAAAAAGAAGAAGAAAAATAGAAAAACTATGTTGTATTTTGTCACCTCACAAATTTCACGCCATCACTGTCAATTTGATCAATGTGAGCATGCATAAGATACAATGTAAATGCCTTAAAGTTAAGCACCCACGCACATAATTCTAAGCAGCGAGAGATGTTAAGTATTTTTTTAGTGTAGGTGTTGAAGATCTATGTGCAGTTTTTTAAGCATGGTGTGTTAGAAGATATTGGGGGTAAATAAAAGCAAAACAAACTAGATAAAAACAATGAAGAAAGGAAAGCAAAAGTTACATGCAGAAACAGCCGCCCGATCTCACACCAATCTTCTTCAACCTCCATTCAACCGAATCCCCGCCGATCTACCTACTATTTGTCACTATGCTGATCGAAACACTCCTGATCCTGACCTCCTAGGCCACTGTGCTGAAGCCTCCACCTCAATCAGCCTCATACCGAAGCTTCAGTCCTCCACTTTGCCATACATCATAGAAAGCTGACTCCCTTTATAATTATTATTAATTATGATTATTATCATTATTAATTGTAACAATAATAATATTTATTATTATTATTATTAATAAAGAAGAAAATTACACAAAAATGAGAGAAGCAAAAAGAAAAGAAAAATAGAATTTTGTGCATTTGTGTCGATCCTCATACCCTCGACCTCAACCCAGCCGCCAACATCAACACTATCATCATTGTGACATGCATCGCCGCCTCTTTGATAAGATATAATGTTCCAAAACTCATTTTCGGCACTCATGGCACACCGTAAACCCACTTATACATGCTCTCGTATTCCGGTGCGGTGCTTGCGACAAGGCGGACATGCAATATAAATGCTCTCATAGAGTGGCTGGGATAACTTTAAGTAACCGCATATATGCTTCCGTGCGTGTGGGAAAAAAAAACTGTGCATTTTAAACAAGTGCCTCGAAAACCCATGCATGCTCTCCTAGCGTGGTGAGATTGAAGAACTACGGCCGCAGTGTATCATACCCAGCTCCTCAAATTTCTCCTAAATGGGAGAGATACCGGGAGGTTGCTGAAATTTGAACTAAGGACCTACACTTAAAGTTGTGAAATCTTGGGTTTTGTATGTTGAAGTTATTTAGGCTGTGGGGTAAATGGGTGATCCAATCTCTCTTTCTGTTGCTTTTTTATGCTACCATTTCTAGCTCAAAAGAGATAATAAATATGAAGTTCTAAATTCTATATGCCAGAGAAAAAAAATCATGATAGTATACTCCCAAGTTTAAACGGCTGACTTGTTGTAGTACACTATTATTTTTAATAAGTTTTTTTATTTTTTAAATCAAACTTATATTTTTCAAAGGAAAAAAAAAAATAATTAAATTTAATCAAAATAGTATCAAAAGAAATCAATATTTTTGTGAGAATAATCTTCACTACTCCACAATTTTTTTACTTTAATTTTAATATCATTGTTAATTATTATATATTTTAATATTATAACTTAATATTGATAAATGGATATCTATATTACATTAATTTTATTAATCTTCAAGATAATTTATTAATATTTTACATCATAAGGCTTGTTTGGTATTGCACTTAGAATATATACTTTATAAAATTGATAACATATTTAAATTCTAAATATTTATAGATACTGGTGTTCAGCCTCTTAGTTCTTCCCGACGCTGTTAGGAAAAGGGATTCCTCGTAGTTGAACCCACCTGCTGATTCTTATAGCTTCACTCGCTCATTTTAAAGAGGTAAAATGTTCTTATAATGCAAAATAATCAAGAAAAAATGTATAGAAGGTAGAAGCCAAGCCAAAATTAATAAAAGAGTGATCTTCAATCAATTACAATCAACTTGATTGCGCTATGAGTCACTATACATGCATGGCACTTCTGAGGAAAAATTGAGTTCATTCTGCTCGCATGCTGATTGTAGAACAAGTCGATGGGGATGACCATGGCTATCTTAGAATGTGGAATGGTCTTGAGATTAAGCACTTAGCCCGACCAAATTTAAGGGTTCGTTTGGGAAGGCTCTTCTACTGCTTCTTAAATCAATTTTTTAGTACAAAAATTAAAAATTTTATAATAAAAAGCTGCTTTAAGTAGTAAGAAAATCGTCCCAAACGAAAACTAAATCATGCTCCTAGCTTTAAGAATTGGAACGTTAATGATGAATTTCAATCTCGATGCATTGCTCTAACGTGTGATATGATCATATTCTAGTGTTGCATCATCTAGAATTTAAATCCCTAACTCACCTCTAAGAAATAGTTGGTTTTTCATGAGAGCTATAAAAGATCTCCTAGAAATGCTTAAAATAAATTTAAAACTTGGAAAGCTTGGATAGATTAAATATTGCAAATATGTTGCATGTTCTCATATAGACCAGAAACACCTTGAAGATCTATATGCACATTACTTATATTCCATCCCTGCTGTATCTGATAGTTTACTTTAAAAAAAAAAAGGCTTTTGATTTCTCTCTTAGCACATAGTCCCCTGCTTACTTTTGTATAACATTTTGTCATTTGTGTTTACTTTATTCATCTACTATCTGAGTCTTACTCTGAATCTTGTAATAGTTGAGTTATTTGAATTCAATGCACGTTAACATATTTTCCTGCTTTTCTTCATCTTAGATATTGAATTTTTAATTGTTTAATAAATTCCACACAAATAGGCAAAACTAAATTAATACTATCTGAATATGCAGATATGTACTTGTTGGTAACCATTATGATGCATGGACATTTGGGGCTGTTGACCCAAATAGTGGAACTGCTGCTTTCTTAGAGGTAATCCAAATCCAAGTGGCAGATTCTTCCTATCAAATATATAACAGGCATTGTAAGCTTCCAAATTTTGTTAAGAAATTTTCTGAGAAAATTTTTGATAAGCTCAATTTAGAGGGAAAAAGTTTGGGTTGGAATGTTCTGATCAAAATTTTTTCTCTATAGAATTTATACTAATTGGATTTTCTTTTAAATAAGCTTAACATAGATTTTGATTGATTAGCTATTTATTGCATCATCTCAAAGCAAATTATCCTAACTCACAATCATCCTGACTCAAATTTTCTCTTGATTTAGATGCTAGGAATTTGAATGAAGGGAAAGAAAATATTAAGAAACAATATTTTTGTACAATCTAAAGTTTAACTATTTATGAGCCTAAACTAAAATATATAAAAAAGAAAAATTATGCATTTGTGCATTTAATGTCCAATTTATTAAGAATTTAATGAAAGGTGGAAATCACGTGTTATAATTTTTTTGTGCTTTTTGATATTTCAGTGGTGTTATTGTAAATGAATATAGTTGAATATTAGGCTTGTAAAAATGACACAATGGAGAACAAGCCAACCCCATATAGTGAGACGAAGGCTTGATGTTGTTGTTGTTGTTATATTAGGTTTTTGTATAGACAACTTTGGTGCCATAATGGAAATTTGATAAAAAAATTTACATAAATGATTGTTGAATTATAATCACTTTATAATTATTTGCATTTCATTTCATTGTTTTCTTACATGAAATTTCGCTTCCTTCACTTTTCTAGAACATTTTAAAAATTGTAAGGTTAGATAATTATATCTTGAACATTTAAAAAAATAATTTTCTTATATTTGAGGATCAGATTTGTATTTTAAATTGAGATTTTTTATCACATGCAAGAAGAGAATGATGGGCTTTGAAAAGATTTGGAAGGGTTATAGAAGCAAGGAAAGAAAGGATATTAAGGTTTTGGACATATTTGGAGTTGGAGATTCTAGCCATTAAAATGATAAAATTTTCAAGGAAAATTTTGAGGAGCTTCATATTAAATTTTGAGATGTGAGGGAACTAATGGAGGTATCTTTATGAGTTTTAATTAGTGGTTATCAAGTTATGTTTTTCCTTAAACTTATTGCTTACAACATCAAATTTTCTCCAATTGTTAGGCTGTTGGCTTTGGCATCTTGGGGTTAATGTTGAGTTAGGAACTTATGAAGTTCTAGAAGTTTTGGGAGAATGCGAAGGATATCTTTGGAGGTATTGGTGGGGTATTGGGATGAGAGAGGCTAGGGTTTAGGGGTTGATCGAGCCTAGCTTGTAGGAGGGGGAGTTATGTTCGTGAGTAGAGAAATTAAAGTGGATAATTAAGGACTCACCTAAGTCCTAGGGAATTAGCCATTAGGCTTACTAGAATAATTTCATGTAATATTAGCACATTTAAAACATAATATTATTCAAATAGGCCTTTACAAGCTCAAGGCTTATTTTGAAAGCCCTTGGAGCCAATAAAACAATGCTACATGGATTTATGACATCTCATAATACAAAGAAAATGAAATTTAAAAAAATGCAAAAAAAATGCTTCCATAAAGGGGGATTTCAGCTAAAGCCAAAATAGGAAGATGGAGTGGTCTTGAGAGCGTGCAATCTTCCAATATCCTTTTTCTTTGTTTGGTGTGACTAACCCTATCATCAAGAACTTGATTTTAAGCCTTCCAATTATTCCCTATTGAATTTGGAGGGATGTGGGGGCAATTGTGCATTGTATTGAAAGTGGAGTGGCCTTGATATAAACATATACATGATTTCTTAATGAAGGAGCCACCCTCTTGTTTGATTGCCTTAAATTTTGTATTGTTGATGTTAATCACGATCATGAGGCTTCCTCCATCTTGATATCAACTTTTATTCAAACATTGATCATGCATTTGAATTGCATCTCAAGAAGTTACCAATCAAATTGTGTTCTTCATAATAACGATCCTCCAAACCCCACTTCATATTTGCATCAAAGCCAAGGGCTTTAAATAAGTCTAAAATCATGAACTTTGAAGGCACAAGTCAGCCGCGACATAAATAAATTGTTTTCACATTAGAAATTTGATATTTAATTTGATTTTCAGGACCCATCCAGATAGATTTATATGATTTAATTACTTTTTTCTATTGCCAATGTTTATTGAAGCCCTTTATTGTTTGGTTGTTATTTGTGACATTTTTAGGTTGCCCAAAGATTCGCCAAGATGCAAAAGGAGGGATGGAAACCTCGAAGAACCATTATCTTGTGTAGCTGGGATGCAGAAGAGCACCACCTGGTCTCGCCTCCCTTCCCAATCTCCCTCAGTTTTACAATTCCTTTTTTGTCAATTTTCTGAATGATGGCATCAATGTTGCTGCAGATAGGTTCAACAGAATGGGTGGAAGATAACAGAGAGATGTTAGCCTCAAGAGCTGTAGCTTATCTGAACATGGACTATGCTGTATCTGGTCGTGGATTCCATGCTTCTTCAACCCCACAACTTGATGAACTTCTCAAAGAGGCAGCAAAAATGGTCTTATTATGTGTCTCCTTTATTTAACTTGATGATAATACGATTTTTTACATACAGATTCAAATTTTTCTATATGCTCTAGTTGTATTCATTATCATCTGGGAAACTGCAAAATACTAATTTGTCTTAGTTTATGCATATGTATGTTGCTATTTTATTAGGTTTTTTAGCTGATTCTTCACATTTTTGCTGTGAAGGTTCAAGATCCTGATAATTCATCACAGACTCTATATGAATCTTGGGCTTCTACAGATTCTCCTCTGGTAAGTACTCGCGACTTACTAGCTACATGCGACCAGAAAGGCCTTTGGATCTACTTGATTATTCAATTATGCATCTCTTCAAATTATAGAAAAAAAAAAATTGAGGGAGGATATTTTGATCCAATTCTCATCAGGACAGGCTCAAAAATTGACACACGACATTAAATAACATAAAAAAGAGCAATTTGTTTTAATATTTTACTATTTTATCATATATTTTAAAGAAAATATTTTCATGAATTTGTATTTTATTGGTAAAATTATTATATGTATCAGAAAAATTTTTGTTTAACTTCTATGGTAATTATTTTATGATGATTATTTCTAAATGTTTCAATTCCGTGGTGAAAAGGTTGGAGTAGCTCCAGTGGCAAATAAGATTAGAGAGAGTCGCCTTAGATGGTTTGGTCACATAAAACGGCGACTTTCCGATGACCCAGTTATGAGAATAGATATATTAGATTTAACCTATGTTAAGAAGGGCAGAGGTAGACCTAAAAAGACTTTGTTAGAAAATATTATAAATGTACTTTCTTTATTAGATCTAAATGAGAATTTGACTCTTAACTTAACACAATGGAGAAAAATGATTCATGTAGCCTACCCCATGTAGTGGGATAAAGATTTGTTGTTGTTGTAGTTGTAGTTGTTGTTGTACTTCTAAATGTTTTAATATATTGTAATTTTATCATTAATTCTTGGTGCCCATCCTAACTGTAGTTAGGTCAGGTATCCTGACCCAGTTATTTTCCTCAACTTATAAGCTTATAAAGCAAAATTGCTTATGAAATAAAGATGAATATTGAACTTCATATCGAAAGATACGGAGGTTAGGTGGTGGTGGATCAGATTATGCGGCTTTTGTTCAGCATGTCGGTGTCCCTTCAGTTGACATGAGGTTTGCAAGAGGTACAATATCGATACTTTTTCTCTTTTTGTGAACTTTCAGTATCTTCAGAGTTTCAAGTATGTTTCTTTGGCATCCAACTTTGCAAGGATCTTCAACTCTTTTTTTCTTGAAAGTTTCTTAAATACATCTTTTTGGCTGGTGAAAGTTTCTAATATCTTGCTAAAATGATTTGTAGATTATCCTGTCTATCATTCCATGTATGATGACTTTTTATGGATGCGGAAATTTGGAGACCCGTTGTTTCATAGGCATGTTGCAGGTAATTTATGCCTTTTTTCTTGAGTGCAGCATGCATGATAGGAAAATAATTATATCAGGAACTCCAAATGCATTGTTTGTGTTGAGTGCATGACAATTGGAACAAAATTAAAGGACATTTGTTAAGAGATACAAAACGCAGACTTTTCTATTAAAAGAAAAAAAAAAGATTTTGATATTATTTTCTAATACAAATATTTTTTTCTTTATAGTTATTACACAAGTGTCATATTTTCTTTTATCAAAGCTACTTTTTTTAATAAATTTTCATGTTTTTCTTACACAATGACGTACAAATATGTTAGAAATGCCCGATGCAAAATAGTCGAAAAATAATATGGCCACCTGATACATCTCCCACATGCCTTTTCTTAACCATGTTATTGTTCAAAATTAATTAAATTTAATCAAAATAGTATCAAAAGAAATCAATATTCTTGTGAGAATAATCTTCACTACTCCACAATTTTTTTACTTTAATTTTAATATCATTGTTAATTATTATATATTTTAATATTATAACTTAATATTGATAAATGGATATCTATATTACATTAATTTTATTAATCTTCAAGATAATTTATTAATATTTTACATCATAAGGCTTGTTTGGTATTGCACTTAGAATATATACTTTATAAAATTGATAACATATTTAAATTCTAAATATTTATAGATACTGGTGTTCAGCCTCTTAGTTCTTCCCGACGCTGTTAGGAAAAGGAATTCCTCGTAGTCGAACCCACCTGCTGATTCTTATAGCTTCACTCGCTCATTTTAAAGAGGTAAAATGTTCTTATAATGCAAAATAATCAAGAAAAAATGTATAGAAGGTAGAAGCCAAGCCAAAATTAATAAAAGAGTGATCTTCAATCAATTACAATCAACTTGATTGCGCTATGAGTCACTATACATGCATGGCACTTCTGAGGAAAAATTGAGTTCATTCTGCTCGCATGCTGATTGTAGAACAAGTCGATGGGGATGACCATGGCTATCTTAGAATGTGGAGTGGTCTTGAGATTAAGCATTTAGGCAAACCAAATTTAAGGGTTCGTTTGGAAAGGCTCTTCTACTGCTTCTTTAATCAATTTTTTATACAAAAATTAAAAATTTTGTACTGAAAAGTTGCTTTAAGCAGTAAGAAAACCGTTCCAAACGAAACCTAAATCATGCTCCTAGCTTTAAGAATTGGAACGTTAATGATGAATTTCAATCTTGATGCATTGCTCTAACGTGTGATATGATCATATTCTAGTGTTGCATCATCTAGAATTTATATCCCTAACTCACCTCTAAGAAATGGTTGGTTTTCCATGAGAGCTATAAAAGATCTCATAGAAATGCTTAAAACAAATTTAAAACTTGGAAAGCTTGGATAGATTAAATATTGCAAATATGTTGCATGTTCTCATATAGACCAGAAACACCTTGAAAATCTATATGCACATTACTTATATTCCATCCCTGCTGTATCTGACAGTTTACTTTAAAAAAAAAAAAGGCTTTTGATTTCTCTCTTAGCACATAGTCCCTCGCTTACTTTTGTATAACATGTGTCATTTGTGTTTACTTTATTCATCTACTTTCTTAGTCTTGCTCTGAACCTTGTTCTGAATCTTGTAATAGTTAACATATTTTGTTGCTTTTCTTCATCTTTGATATTGAATGTTTTAATTGTTTAATAAATTCCCCACAAATAGGCAAAACTAAATTAATACTATCTGAATATACAGATATGTACTTGTTGGTAACCATTATGATGCATGGACATTCGGGGCTGTTGACCCAAATAGTGGAACTGCTGCTTTCTTAGAGGTAATCCAAATCCAAGTGGCGGATACTTCCTAACAAATATATAACAGGCATGAAAAGCTTCCAAATTTTGTTAAGAAATTTTTTGACGATAAGCTCAATTTAGAGGTGCTTAATATAGATTTTGATTGATTAGCTATTTATTGGATCATCTCAAAGCTAATTATCCTAACTCACAATCATCTTGACTCAAATTTTCTCTTGATTTAGATGCTAGGAATTTGAATGAAGGGAAAAAAAAAATCTTAAGAAAAATATTTTTGTACAATCTTAAGTTTAACTATTTATGAAACTAAACTAAAATATATAAAAAGCAAAACTATGCATTTGTGCATTTAATGTCCAATTCTTTAAGAATTTAATGAAAGGTGGAAATCGTAAGCTATAATTTTATTGTGCTTTTCGATATTTTAGTGGTGTTATTTTTTTTATTTCAGTGGTGTTATTCTAAATAAAAATAGTTGAATATTAGGTTTTTAAACAAGACACAATGGATAACAAGGAGTCATGTAGTCTACCCCATGTAGTGAGACAATGTTTGATGTTATTGTTGTTGTTATATTAGGTTGGTGTATAGATAGCTTTGGTGCCGCATTGGAAATTTGATAAAAAATTTACATAAATGATTGTTGAATCATAATCACTTTATAATTATTTGTATTTCATTTCATTGTTTTCTTATATGAAAATCCGCTTCCTTCACTTTCCTAGAACATTTTAAAAATTGTAAGGTTAAATAATGGTATCTAGAACATTTAAAATTTTACTTTTCTTATAATTGAGGATCAAATTTGTATTATAAATTGAGATTTTTTATCTCATGCAAGAAAAGAATGATGGGCTTTGAAAAGATTTGGAAGGGTTATAGAAGCAAGGAAAGAAAGGATATTAAGGTTTTGGACATATTTGGAGTTGGAGCTTCTAGCCATTAAAATGATAAATTTTTTGAGGAGCTTCATATTAAAGTTTGAGATGTTAGGGAACTAATGGAGGTATCTTTATGAGTTTTTAATTAGTGTTTATCAAGTTTTATTTTTCTTTAAACTTATTTCTTACAACATCAAATTTTCTCCAAGTGTTAGGCTGTTGGCTTGGGCATCTTGGGATTAGTGGGTAGTTAAGAACTTGTGAATTTGTAGAAGTTTTGGGATAATGTGGAGGATATCTTTGGAGGCACTGGTGGGGTATTGGGATGAGAGAGTCTAGGGTTTAGGGGTTGATCGAGCCTAGCTTGTAGGAGGGGGAGTTATGTTCAAGAGTGGAGAAGATAAAGTGGATAATTAAGGACTCACCTAAGTCCTAGGGAATTAGCCATTAGACTTCCTAGAATCATTCCAGGTAATATTTGCTCATGTAAAACATAATATTGTTCAAATAGGCCTTTACAAGCCTATGATTTCTCAAGGCTTATTTTGAAGGCCCTTGGAGCCAATAAAACAATGCTACATGGATTTATGACATCTCATAATACAAAGAAAATGGAATTTAAAAAATGCTTCCATAAAGAGGGATTTTAGCTAAGCCAAAATAGGAAGATGGAGTGGTCTTGAGAGTGCAATCTTCCAATATCCTTTTTCTTTGTAGTGTGTGACTGACCCTATCATCAAGAACTTGATTTTAAGCCTTCCAATTATTCCCTATTGAATTTGGAGAGATGTGGGGGCAATTGTGCATTGTGTGGAAAGTGGAGTAGCCTTGATATAAGCATATACATGATTTCTTAATGAAGGAGCCACCCTCTTGTTTGATTTCCTTAAATTTTGTATTTGATTTTGATCACGATCATGAGGCTTCCTCCATCTTGATTGCATCTCAAGAGGTTTACCAATCAAATTGTTTTCTTCATAATAACGATCCTCCAAACCCTACTTCATATTTGCATAAAAAAGCCAAGGGCTTTAAATAAGTCAAGATCATGAACTTTAAAGGCACAAGTCAACCGCGACATAAGTCAATTGTTTTCATGTTAGAAATTTGATATTTAATTTGATTTTCATGACCCATCCAGATAGATTTATAGTATTTAATTACTTTATTCTATTGCCAATGTTTATTAAAGCCCTTTTATTGCCTGGTTGTTCTTAGTGTTATTTGTGACATTTTTAGGTTGCCCAAAGATTCGCCAAGATGCAAAAGGAAGGATGGAAACCTCGAAGAACCATTATCTTGTGTAGCTGGGATGCAGAAGAGCACCACCTGGTCTCGCCTCCCTTCCCAATCTCCCTCAGTTTTACAATTCCTTTTTTGTCAATTTTCTGAATGATGGCATCAATGTTGCTGCAGATAGGTTCAACAGAATGGGTGGAAGATAACAGAGAGATGTTGGCCTCAAGAGCTGTAGCTTATCTGAACATGGACTATGCTGTATCTGGTCGTGGATTCCATGCTTCTTCAACCCCACAACTTGATGAACTTCTCAAAGAGGCAGCAAAAATGGTCTTATTATGTTTCTCCTTTATTAACCTGATAATAATATGATTTTTTGGATACATATTCAATTTTTTCTATATGCTCTAGTTGTATTCATTATCATCTGGGAAACTGCAAAATACTAATTTGTCTTAGTTTATGCATATGTATGTTGCTATTTTATTAGGTTTTTTAGCTGATTCTACACATTTTTGCTGTGAAGGTTCAAGATCCTGATAATTCATCGCAGACTCTATATGAATCTTGGGCTACTACAGATTCTCCTCTAGTAAGTACTTGCGATTTATTAGCTACATGAGATCAGAAAGACCTTTGGAGCTACTTGATTATTCAATTATGCATATCTTCAAATTATAGAAAAAAATTTGAGTGAGGATATTTTGGCCCAATTCTCATCAGGATAGGCTCTAAAAATTGACACACGACATTAAATACCATAAAAAGAGCAATTTGTTTTAATATTTTACTGTTTTATCGTATTTTTTAAAGAAAATATTTTCATGAATTTGTATTTTATTGATAAAATTATTATATGTATCAGAGAAATTTTTGTTTAACTTCTATGGTAATTATTTTATGATGATTATTTCTAAATGTTTCAATTGCGTGGTGAAGAGGTTGAAGTAGCTCCAATGACAGATAAGATTAGAGAGAGTCGCCTTAGATGGTTTGGTCACAAAAAAACAATGACTTTTAGATGACCTGGTTAGGAGAGTGGATGTATTAGACTTAACCTATGTTAAGAAGGGTAGAGGTAGACCTAAAAAGCCTTGGTTAGAAAATATTAGAAATGACATTTCTTTATTACTAAATGAGAATTTGACTCCTAACAGGAAACAATGGAGAAAAAATGATCATGTAGCCTGCCTCACATAGTGCGATAAAGGCTTGATGTGGTTGTTGTACTTCTAAATGTTTTAATATATTGTTATTTTATCATAGATTCTTGGTGCCCATCCAAACTATAGTTAGGCCAGGTATCCTGACCAAATTATTTACCTCAACTTATAAGCTTATAAAGCAAAATTGCTTATGAAATAAAGATGAATTTTGAACTTCATATCGAAAGATACGGAGGTTAGGTGGTGGTGGATCAGATTATGCGGCTTTTGTTCAGCATGTCGGTGTCCCTTCAGTTGACATGAGGTTTGCAAGAGGTACATATCTATACTTTTTCTCTTTTTGTGACCTTTCAGTATCTTCAGAGTTTCAAGTATGTTCCCTTGGCATCCAACTCTGCAAGGATCTTCAGCTCTTTTTTTTCCTTGAAAATTTTTTAAATAGATCTTTTTGGCTGGTGAAAGTTTCTAATATCTTGCTAAAATGATTTGTAGATTATCCTGTCTATCACTCCATGTATGATGACTTTTTATGGATGCAAAAATTTGGAGACCCGTTGTTTCATAGGCATGTTGCAGGTAATTTATGCCTTTCTTCTCGAGTGCAGCATGCATGATAGGAAAATAATTATATCAGGAACTCCAAATGCATTGTTTGTGTTGAGTGCATGACAATTGGAACAAAATTAAAGGACATTTGTTAAGAGATACAAAACACAGACTTTTCTATTAAAAGAAAAAAAAAGATTTTGATATTATTTTCTTATACAAATATTTTTTTCTTTATAGTTATTACACAAGTGTCATATTTTCTTTTATCAAATCTACTTTTTTTAATAAATTTTCATGTTTTTCTTACACAATGACGTACAAATATGTTAGAAATGCCCGACGCAAAATAGTCGAAAAATAATATGGCCACCTGATACATCTCCCACATGCCTTTTCTTAACCATGTTATTGTTCAAGAACATAAAAGATAGATTCTTCTCATCGATATGCTGATTTGTTTATTTTCTATGTCCCAAACTTCTTGCAATTTTTTTGTAAGCAGACAAATTAAAGATTACTGCAAACTAATGTTTGGCCGATATCTGAGAGAAGAATGCCAATATCATCAATGTATTCTACTTGTAATATTAATTCTTCAAGATTACTCAATTGCCAGTATATTTACTCTATTTGCTTATTATAATTTCTTTTCCACTAATTTCCTACCAAAAAAAAAATGTCTAACTTGAATCTTGCTATACTAATAAGTATAGCTGCAAACATTCTGGGTCTGGTCGCTTTAAAGTTGGCTGATGAAGAGTTCTTGCCTTTTGATTACATTTCCTATGCAAATGAGCTCCAGGTATACTTCCTATAACTTGCTGGTAAGTATTCAAGTTTTATTTTTATATTTTTTAAAAATTTTCACTCCATTTCAGGACAGGGCAAATTCAATATGACTACAAACTAATATTTAGCCAATATATGAGATTTGAATGCCAAATCAATTGTTTATCTCTCTTTACTAATATAATTTTAACCTCATATTAAGCAGAAAAGCACAAAGGTTTTAGAAAATGAGTTGCTGGGAAAGCCAGTGAGTTTTGCGCCATTACAGGAGTCTATAGAAAAATTCAGGAGGGCGGCTTCCAAAGTAGACAGCCAGAGGAAGGTATCTTCAAAGAAAATGTGCTTTCTTTCAGGAAACTTTAAAGATGTTTTATATCATGAAAGTCTAAAACTAATATAGGAATTGGAAAGCAAGGATTTGCTTTCAAAATGGAAGAAAGATCCTTTGAAAGTTCGAGAACTCAATGATAGGTTGATGATGACAGAGAGGGCATTTACTAATCGAGAGGGCCTCTTTGGAAGGCCCTGGTTCAAGCATTTGGTACATTGATTCTACTCTCTCTCTCTCTCTCTCACACACACACACACACACACGCACACACACAAACACATTTATTTGGTTAAATGAAATCTTATAATTATGATGAATTTGAAAGGTATATGGACCATCAAATCATAATGTGTATTTATCAAGGGCCTTTCCAAGCATAGATGATGCCATTGAAGGGGTGGAAGTTTCAAAAGGATTGGGTTCATGGAAATTGGTTCAACGTGAAGCTTGGAGGGTTGCTAGAGTAATCACTCAAGCTTCTCGTGTCCTTAATGGGGAGCTAACATGATCATAAATTTCTTGGACACAAAATTTCATATTCTTCACAACAAAAGTTATGAATAATGCATCAGAAAAGGAAAGGGATTGTTACTCAAATTAGTTTTCATTCCCCTGTTAAACATATTATTATTATTATTCTAACAATGTTTTCATGTTATATTAAAGTTTGTTTTTCATCCTTTATCATTGGTCATTGGAAGCTTTGCATTGTCATGAGTTATGTTATCTGCGAGAAATCAAGCGAGAAAATGATGATTAATCTCGATTGTCTTAGGCTTTGTTTGAGATAGCTTTCTTTATGTTTTCTAAAACAACTTTTTAGTACAAAAATTAAAAAACTTTTTATAAAATAGTAAGAAAGCTGTCACAAACGAAGCCTTAGTCTTTTATATTCTCACACATGAAAATTAATGTTAGTAAAGAGTGGAGCATAAATTTTTGTATATGAAAAACTCTTTGAAGTAAAATTTATGATGTCATGTCTAGTTAAATCAATTTAACTTCTACTATTTCATAGAATCAACAAGACTAGTCCATGTTAAACCCTAATTTGACCAAGGTGAGAAGTGGCTTATTTTTTTATGAAATTTTTAGATGTAAGATGGATGTTAGCACTTGGAAGTAGTGTGGGGGTGTTTGTAGTTTAATTCTAGCTTTTTTTTAATATAATTTTTCATGTATTTTTGTTAGAAAAATTGAGATTAGGTCTTGTTAACTTAAATTAGGCCGGCTTTGAAAATTTTAACATATCTTCTATTTTGTTTTTTTTTCAAAAGAAAAAGTAGGTTTTTCCCATGGGATGATAGAGGGAATGTATGAGAAGATTGTGCTTGAATTTATTTTGCATTTGCAAAAGAAAAATTTTGAAAAAATAACTTTCTCAAGAAAGAAAATCCTCCTTCCGTCGAGTCAATGGATAGTCTTGACTCTCCTTGCACCTTAAGACTTATAGTTTCCCATATTTACTTTGCACCCTTTTATCTAAATTACTTAAAATGAAATCTCCTAGAGTCTCCCATACCAAGCATGTAAAGTCAAATAATATAAAGTGTCTTAATTCACAACATGTTGATATACACTAATACATACATTAGAAGTTGGCTATTTGCCTTAAGTATGTATCATAGACTTTGTGATAAGCCTATGATGCTATCAATTCCCCAAATCTAAAAAAAAAAAAAAACTTTCTTCGTTCTAAAGAGTTGAAGCTTCTATACTCGATTGCTAGATCTAGCGCAAACTTAGAGAGCTCCTTCCATGTAAGTCATATATCTCTATGTGACGGTCTCTCTTTCACCTGATCAAAATTTGTGTTATCGTGTCCCATCTTATAGTGCCTTATCTAAAAGTATGCTCTCCATCACAGTAATATTTGGTTGCATGTTAATTTGCGCTTAGTTACTTTGATCACCTATAAAATAGTTATTCACAAAATTTCATGCAAAATATATTCGTTGAATGATAAAATACATTCAATATTAAATATAAATTTATATGAATGTCATTTGAAAATTTAAAAACTAAATACTCATGAGAATTTATACCATCAAAATAGGATATCTAAGTTGACCAGTCTTCTAGAGAGACTAGGCTCTGTAAGGATAAATACACTCGATAGCACCTCAAAAAAATACTCTTGATGACACGTGCATTTGTTTTAATATGTCCAGGTTCAAAAGGATGATTATGATTCAATGAATGTTATCCTAATAGGATACTTTATGCTTTGAGATGAATAAGTCCACAGGATAAAGGGTGAATCGCCATTAACAAAGTAATATGAGTATCAATTTATTGAAGTTTATAAAAAATATTTTATCCTAAGAGCTTACTGCAAAGTTATTTATATTTCAAAAAATCACAAAGCAATAAATAAAGGTGAAAAAACATCACATTAAAAGACTAAAGAAATTATAGAAGTAGCAAAATAATGTGTTGTGATGGTTGTAAAAGAATATGATAATAAGGCTAAGTAATAATAATGCCTCTACTTTTGGTTTTTATCACCTCTTTCAAATATATGTATGTCCACCAAGTATTGGAGTATACTTTAATGGAAATTATTATATATACAAAGCCTTCATAAGCTAAAAAGTATAGTAAAAAGTAAAAGTTTTAAATGGAACTATGAAAAGAAAAAAATATCTCTATCAAAGTGCAGAAAATAGCCAAACAACTAAGTACCAAGCAAGAGAATCTTCACTAACAACAACAAATTCAACCCAACAAGTCATACGTTTAATAAGCTATCAGCCTAGCTACATCATATCAAGGCTAACAACTAAGGCTTTGATATGTGTAAAAATATTGGCATTGTCAACTTATGGCTTACCACCATAATATTTTTTTGGATTTTTAAAGCTAAATTTCAAAAAAGATCTTGATCGAATAAAAAGAGATATGAAAATAAATGCATATTTTTTTATAAACTATAGAAAGATATGAACTAAAATTTTCAAATAGCTTTAGCCTTAGGCATTACCTAAAATAATCAAGTTAATTTTAAAAAATAATTAACGTAACATATCATAGGTTAGTTGCTGACTTGTCGTCCCGAGCAATCAATGAGAAGTGGTTATCATAGAATGATTTTCGTTATCAAATGAGATGTTACCCAATAGTAATAGTCAAATTACTATAATCGCAGACCAAGTCCTAAAATTAAAAGGTCTAAATCAATCTGGCCAATCAAAACTGACTAACCTCATGTATATACAAATGTAATTAATATGAGGGTAAATAGTTTAGAACAGCAACCACCAAACTTGATTCAAGTGTTTGTGAATGTTACAAACACTTAAACCATAAAAATATTTCAAACATTCAAGGTAACTTCCTCATGGTGTAAGGTAAGTCGAAATAAAGATAGTTACTCATAAGGAAAAGAAATGGTTCAACTATAGGCATATACTCACACCAAAAGTGTTCAATCACAAGGTATGATTAAACAATATAATGACTTAATCAAAAGAGCATGACCAAGTTGGTATAAAAATCAACCAAATGTGATATGGCTTAGTTCAAAAAGGATTCTTTTTAGGAATGACACTAAAATAGGGATAGCAACAAAAGAGCTTGATCTTACTGGGGAATGATTTAGCCATAAGAGCATGGCTAAATCAATGGGTAGTTTTGATCAAAACATTATGATCAAATCATAATAGCATAGTCATAAGAGTTTGACTATATTAAAGATGAACTTAATCAAAAGAGCATATCTAGTTTAAGATGTTTCTTAGTTAAATGAGCATGATTAAGACAGTAGGTAGTATAAGCCAATAAAGATGATTAGTCTAAGAATAGAGTTAGTTAAAAAATCAACCCAATGCAGGATGATTCTCAACCCAAGAGTATGACTAAAAGGAATGAAAAACACAATAAAAACATCTTTATCGTACTAAAGTAAACCCAACCAAAATGTATTGATTACATTTGTAAAATGTCTAAACGAAAGAGAATGATTGCACTTTCAAAGTCAAATTAGGTTAAGATTTTATGTAAAAATGATAAAATTCATGTCGTGATACAAATAGGGAAGACTAGAGTGATCTATAGATATGTTTCAAGTAGGTCTTATGGAATCCAATATTGATTGAACATAGAGGGGACGAGGTAGAGATTATCTTAGAATGCTATATTAGCTATCCTAAGACATGAAATCCCCTACTAATCAACTTGTCAAGAGTGGCAAAGTAATAATATACGTAAAAACATATATTGTAAAGCTTGACCCAACTCAATGAAACCTAACCATAGATTTTTAAATTGATATCAGTGCATGTGTAATGACCAAATGTCCCTAGACACATATCAAATGCAAGTCTAAAATATCATATGTAAATGACCAATAAACATTATATATTAAGAAATTGATCAGCCAAGATTGATTGGGGCTCCATATACAAATGTGTGCAAAAGTAAAATACATGAATTTTTTTCTATGAGCAATATGTATTAGATTAAACGAGTTTTAAATATTTTAGTTTTCCGAAAATAACTTTGGCAATTTAGTAAAAATTTTCAAAATTGTTGAAACTCAAAATATCTAAAATACTGATTTTTTTTTTTTTTTTTTTTTTTTTTGACATTTAGATTTATATTTGAACATTAGAGTTTTGAAACTGATATTGTGAAAAGATCCAAAACAGATAGACAATCAAAGTCAAAATTAAATCATATTTTTTTCAATTAAATAAATAAATAATATATGTATAATAATTAGGAAAATTAGTTAAAGTAATCAAGTTATGGTCAAAGTGGGTCAAATGAACTTTCAAATGTCTCTAAATAAGATAAATTATATTTCCATATATTATAGGTATTTTAAAATTATTTAGTATTTTTCGTAATTACAACTTAGGGGATGAAAAATAAATATTAAATTTATAAATGATTTTGGAAAATCAAATGATTACACCCAATGTTTAAGCAATCCTAAAATTTTCAACTATATTTCATGTATTTTTCATAATTAAATAAAAAAAATAAGTGATTTCTTAATTATGAAAAATAGAAAAATACCTCAAATAATTTTAGAAAAAATTGAATATGTTTTAAATAATAAACAAAGCTTGAGCAAAACTTGCCAAAAACACCCCCAAATTTTATTGGAAAATTATTTAAATATATCTAAAAATTCAAAAATTATGAAGTTCACTACTTTTTTATTTACTAGATATATTAAATAATCTATTATGAAGTTCACTACTTTTTTAGTTATTAGATATATTAAATAATCTCCAAAATTCTTTAATGATTTAAGAATTTGTCTAATCATGCCCGATATCTTTTTTAGTTTTAATAGAATTTTTAAATTAATATTCTAATCATTAGGAATTTTAACAATAACTTTAGGGTTTTGAAAAATCATAATATACAATATATATGATTTATCAAGCCTTGAAATAAATATCGGGGGCTTATTATGAGTCAATTGAACTATCTGAAAAGTTTGGAGACTCTATAAAGTCATTTAATATTTGTTTAATTTAAAACAACAAATTTTGTATTTTTTAATAAATAAAACAAATGAAATTTGGTGAAAGTATGTTTATTGGAATCTTTGTCCAATGATTGTAACTAGTCCAAATTTCATTGGATTTGGTTAAGAAGATAAGCAATTAATAGCAAAAATTCTTAAAAAATACCCTAAAACTCTTAAGCAAATGACCCTAATTATTGAATCTTATTCAAATAAGTTCCAATGGATGGCAAATTG